TGAAACAAACATGTTTATATAGCTCATACTATGACGTTCTTCTGTACCTCTGGCACCTCCTTTTTTACTTCTCAGGTCAACATCAATGTCCTTTCTTTCCCTCTTTGACAGAAAAAAAACATCTTCATGATTTTCCTGTAACCCTGTACCACTAATATTATTTTCATATTTTTACTTTGATTCTTGACCCACCTTTTAACTTTGGGGTATTGTGATCCCTTTAAATAATAAAAAATATAGGTGACCTTTGTTTCCTATTTCAGTATTTTTCCTAATTGGATGGTACAATTTAGCTGTCTCAGCTGTGTCATACTTTTCTGTCTGAGCGTGACCTTTGACCTCTCATCCCCACACCTGCAGGGGTAGGGGGGACACACTGGGAGAGGGGAAGCAGTTTTCTTCTGGTACATTTCCCACACCATGGACATGAATCCATGTGTCTGTGTATGCTGTGGTGAACTACTACAGAGTAGCAAAATGCTTCAAGGCCCCACCAGAAGATTGCATGAAGATAATTTTGAGTTATCACACGGTAATAATTTATCAATATTCAAATATAATTTTTTTTAATTTTTTCATATTTTGTTAAAGAAAAACAATTAAAAGAGAAATAATACAATTTATATTTACAATTTTTAAGATTATACATATTTTTTCTTGGATCAGGCTTTGAAGGGTTATAAAAATCAGTGACTAAGAGGTAGACAAGTGCAGTTTCCTCAAACTGAGATGCATCTGCTGCAGGGTTTTCAGGGAGTTAAAAGTCCAGAGCCAGTCTGAGCAGAGTGATGAATATTTTTAAGATTTATTGCTAAACCGAAACTGGATCTTATTGTGTTATGACCCACTTTTGCCTTTTTCTGTAAGCAACTGAAGTCCATTCTCTCTCACCTCTCTCATCAAACTATCACCTCAGTGCAATTCCCCTCGCCCTTTATTTTTATTGAGTTATTAATGTATTTATTTCATAACCTTGTCCTGTCCAGCATAATGGCAGCAGAACTTAAATCTGTGTAATGTGCTATGCTGAACACATTAAACCCCCCTTGATTATCCCACACTGCTTTATTTATTTATCTTTACTGCAACATTTGACATATATCTAATAATGCCAAACCTGACAGAGGGACAGGAAAGAAAGAGAAACAAAAAAACCTGAAAAGGACAAGGATCCTTTGCACAGACAGAGAA